TCTTAATTTTACATAAATATGAATTATAACATTTCTTATTTAATGCAAAGTAGCTATGCCGCAAAACTGAGTACCTTAGGTAATCACTGTGTAAGCCCGTTCTTTTATACAGTTTAAAAGAGTGCGACTTTTTATTTTTCAATTTTTTAAGCTCTTTAGTGAACCATAATTGTATTGGTTCTTCATGAACAATATTACGTATTGGCACATACTTTCGAAACAAATTGAAAACAGTATCATTAAAGTGCTCAACGCTACGCTCCACGTCATCTCTATATATTGGCCAAGATAACTTTGAAAGTTCTTTGTTAATTTTCCTGAAATTTGCTTTCGCAAAAACATATCTAGTACTTGAACTTGACTTATTATTATGTATTTCATTTATGATTTCGTAGTTTAACTCAAGAGCAGGATGGTATGCATCTTCCGGCAAAACTAGGGGATCACACCGATTAATAGAGGCCTTCGGAACATCATCAACGTAAACGAGATCCAAGACCTTTCCAAACTTATTTGGACATATATTTATTTGTTTGAGGCATAGTTCAGCCATTTCCTCCAGAAATACATTGTAACTATCTCTAGATGAAACTGGTACAACATCGGTGTCAATGATGTTCCATGAAATATGTGGCAGATTTAAATCGCCCAAAACAATCATAGAATCGGATGCCGTAAGCATTGCATTTACGGTCTCAAGTAAAGAAACTAGCTGCATATATACCGATACGGCAGAATTAGGAGGGATGTAGCAAAGAGCTAAATAAATATAAGTCTTTCCAGCCTGTACACGTATACATTTAAATTCGGTATATTCAATGACAGGAAGACTAACTTCCTCGGATGGTATCGATGAATGCACCGCAAAAAGAACACCACCGCCGATTCTGCCCACGCGGTCACTCCTGTATATTTGATATTCATTTGGAAGAATTTCGGAATTAAAAATATGAGGTTTGAGCCATGTTTCGGTCAAGGAAATAATATTATAATTGCAGTCAAAACCTTTTAAATATAAGTCAGTTAATTTGGTATTCAAACCTCTAACGTTTTGATAGTAAATACTTAAATTAGACTTACGAGTTAGTTTTTTGAATCAGAATTAAGATTAGAAATTTTAGCTACGTTATTATTACTTTTATTAGGTTTATACTCAAACTCGCGAACAAACGCCCCGGTCGGCCAAAATGAACTATTTAGTAGTGAATCAAAATCTTCGGAAGCTACATCAATTTTAAAAGAAGAAATATCGCGATCGTATTTAAAATTAAATTTACGAATAAATACATCTTTAGTTCTAATTTTAGTCGATATGTATGACTTTATATCATCCGAAGAAGTATCTTTAGCAAATCTAGAGACAAAGATTGATCTTCTCGGAGGAATTACAACCAACTTTTTGGTAATGATGTCTGATGTGCGGGGCTCCGAATTATTCGGAGGAACTAAGTTAGACAGTGGAGCTTGAGATGTTGATGGCAACACTGTTAAATCAACGGTTTGACTATTTTTTGAAGTAGACCTAGTGGATATGGCTTTAGAAATCGGAGGCTCCAATGCCTGAGGGCATGGAGAAGATAAATTAATAAGTTCTAAGGACTGGGATGGAGGATTTTTTTTACTAGAATCCGTGGCTGTCTTTTTAGGTGGACTAATAACATGCCCACCTTTATTTTCACGGCTATCTTCAGAGTGTGGAGGGTCGTCGAGACAAGTGAAAGATCTAAACATTTTTTCGTAATGCTTAAATTTCTCAACAAGCGCCGACAGATCCTTCCCGATCTCAGAAAAACCATTTCTGGACTGCCTGAAGAATTTAAATAAATCAACTTCGGTTGATCTACATTTTTGACAAGACCAACGAAGACCCTTACCCTCGTTAATAGCGTCTAATACTCTACCGCTCAAACCAGCACATTTAATATGGGCAATCCCATCGCAGAGCCAGCATGGCACATAGGAGTCGCTTTTAACGTGGCAATTGGTGTAAATGCACGACATGTTTAAAATTATATTTATTTTTAGGTTTTAGAAGCAAAAAAGCAAAAACAGTTTTGAAAACGATGTATTAATCAGTGAACCAATCAGCTGGTAAATATCAGTTAGCGAACAGTTTTAAATGCACTGTATATTAGACACCTAATAAACACAACGCAAACAGCTGTGACAAAGATGAAACAGCAGAAATGACAAAAAGACAAAAAGAGCAAAATCAATGTGCACAAACAAAAACAATTGTACAACAACAATATATTATATGAAACAAAATACTCGGCACATGCAATTAAGAATATCAAGTTAAATTAATCAAATCTACGGGAAATTTTGATGTTTTACTTATCTTTAAATTGTGCACCAGAAGTTTATTAACACTTTTTTTAATTTTTTACTTTAATAAGCGTAAACAGCTTTATCAAACACAAAATTTAAGCAGATCACAGAAAAACACAGCTTCACAGCTTGACGTTCATTTTTTACCTAATTTGATGCATACAGGATTTTAAAATGAAAGCATTATCTTAAATAAAATCATGATATACGTAGGATGTCATTAAAAAAATTCCTATAAATGTATTTATTTACTTGAAAAAGATACCTAAATGTGGGAAATATTCTTAAGGACCTTACATATGAATCCTTATATTTCGTTGTGTAAAATAAATCAAAATACTCTTATTATAGCAGAAGGATTCTGAAAAGAACTAAAAACTGACATCTTGCTGCATATAATAACCGTTATTTTCGGATTAAAAATTTTCTAGATCTACATAAAACATATGATCGAACATGTTTTGTCTCAAAGATTATTCTTCATCGAAAAAAAAACACGAAATATCGATTAAACAATAAAAAAATAAAGAAAATTCCAATACAGGTTTTCATGGCAGAAAAAATCTAAAAGCGAATAATATCATTCCCTGATATTTACAGATCGAAAATGTAAGAGTAAAGACATATTTACTGGATTTTATTCCCGATACCGTTATTTTCAGATTTAAATTTTTCTAGATCTAAATAGAAGATATGATCGAACATTTTTTGTCTCAAGGATTATTCTTGATCGAAAAAAACATGAAATATCGATTAAACGATAAAAAAATTTCAAATAATGGTTTTCACAGCAGAAAAAATCTAAAAGCCAATAATTTTATTCCCTGATATTTACAGATCGAAACTGTAAGAGTAAAGACATATTTACTGGATTTTATTCCCGATATTATCGAATCAAGGGTTTTTGGCCGCGAAATTAAATTTTATACGGTTACTTCAGGTTTCAGAAGTTTAGCAACGTATTCGAGATTTCACTGTATTTACATAAACAACAATAAAAATCATTTATATGATACTTGCTGTTATTGCATACGCATTACCGATTACATTTCCTTTACACAAATGTAAATAGAAGTTAGATGTAATCACTCCGCTGAATTATTTATTGTACTATTGAGCAGTCATTACCAACCTTTGCAGAACAATCGAAAAGGCCACACGGTGGGCAGGAAGCAAAGATAGGTTGCATAAAAATATCGACAAAAACTGAAAGCAGGGTTGTATTTGTTGATATTTTTAGGTTAAGAATCCGTTTAAATTGAAATCCTAGCTGCTCCTGTTTTAAAGATATCCACATTTTACATAGTTATGATAGGACCGACTTTTGCGAAAGAGAAAAACATCCTTGTGCATTAAATATTCAACAATGTATGTGTGAGTAAATGTGTGTATATA